CTAACCTAACCTAACCTAACCTAACCTAACCTAACCTAACCTAACCTAACCTAACCTAACCTAACCTAACCTAACCTAACCTAACCTAACCTAACCTAACCTAACCTAACCTAACCTAACCTAACCTAACCTAACCTAACCTAACCTAACCTAACCTAACCTAAATGGGTGCAGCTTGCGACAATTTCTGGATACAACATCGCGGCGCTTGCAGCCGTAGGGAATTCGCGCCCATCGAGAGATCTGTCTAACCATCTACAGGACAAAATGGCAAGTGAGCGAGATATGCGCAACGGACGCATGATCGTGACATACGCAATACGAAGATCTTCTACGCGTTCCCAGTTCTGTGGACGTATCGAAACCGAGGACTGAAGCCTTGTCCACGTCATCGGCTTCCTGGGAAATGATAAATCAACGACTTTATATATACGATCCAGAGCGACAGTAAGCCAGACGGCAAAGTCATCTGAGGCAGATAGACGGAATGCCGTGGCGGCTCGGGCGAGGTCGGTCACGTCCAGCGTCTTCATCGACAACTGGACTAGCTCGACGGGGAAGCGGGATGCAGCTGGCATTGAGCACTTTTTTCGATGATTTTTGTCTGAGCGACAGATGAGTAGAAAGGGGGCCGCACGCAGGGTGGGACGCGAACGAGGCGATTGAATGCAAGATATATAGCTGCACCATGGCCCAATCGGGCTCATATCGCCGGGCGTGGCGGGTTTCGGCAGGGGAATGGCAAAAGTCCGAATAAGTCGCAAAGACAAATTATTCCAAATTTTGTACTCTACAACTCTACATAAACGCGTCAGAGACGAAAGTGCAATGCAACCAACTGATGCGAGCTTTCGGGTCCCCCGCCAGGACACGCCACACCGGAGGTAGGCGGATCGTCGATGAGCCCTAGATAAGGACTGCCGGATCAAAGATGAAGATCAGCAATGACATGATGGATGACCAATCACGCGGATCAGCATGTGACGATGATTGATCGGGGATTTAAGCAGCCGTCGAGGGGATCGGCGATGGGCAATCATTGATCGGTGACCGAAGATTCCATCATGCGGATCACCGATTGGCGATCATTGATCGCCGATTGAAGGAGCAATCCAGCCTCGATGTTGATGATCCATAATTGCCGACCGATCAGTCGGCGACCGGGGCACGAATCGGCCACGATCTCGGAAACGGATACCGCCCTGTGGGGTGCCGGCCTTAGTCGACACGATCACCCGGCGCCTAAACCCGCTTACCCACTCATCCCATCACATTCGGATTCCCTCCACCTTGTGCCTGTTCTAAACATTCTGCCGACGAATCACTTCTCCAATGGAAGGCACCTACGTCATCTTGATGCCCCCTTGGCGAGCCGGAGACACCTCTATCCAGCGTGTCCTGACGCGTGCTCGAGTAGAGATCTGGTTGCTTGGAGAGATAGGGTGGCGGTACGGATTCATCATGGCAAACGTCACGTGAGTGTTTCTCCTGTTTTTTGAGATCGTTTCTTCATAGCTTCGGGTAGGCATGTGTGGCACGCAAGTCCGTTGGACCCTCGCGACCACATCACTGTGGAGATCTACTACAATTTCCATTATGTAGGGACCTGGCACATCGTTCGGCATTTGCAGTGAGTCGTTCGTTGTTTTTTTACAACATCCTCCTGAACCTCTACAGTCTCGAAGGCAATGAAGCATATAACGCGGTCGCTATTGGGTACGTCTTTTTTATTCATTCCGCGAATCATTCTCATTTGCAGCTAGGAGGGGGATGGGGAATTGTTGTGGCTGAAGTGCGAGTTTCAGTGGCGGCAGATGGGAGTTTCGGGGCGGTAGGGGTTGAGGCGCGCTGGGGCGGCGCTAAATGTACTTCGGTGCGCTGGGGCGGCGCTAAGTCTATTTCGGTGCGTTGGGGTGCACAGGCTTCCGCCGGGTCGACTTTCTTGCGTTATTTCTTCGTTGCATTGTACATTAGTGGGTCAGTGTGTGTTGTTTTTTGCTGATCGTCGAGATCGGTTGCTTTCAGTGTGTGCTGTAATGGTGTGATATGCGTTGAAGTTATTCACAAACGAAAAAACGTCTCCGACGGATGACGCGCGCAATGCTAACGATTTCACGGAGATGCAGTTCTTGTGTAGCTGTGGCGAAAGCCGTCTCGGACGGAAAGCGCGCGCAAGGCACCTCCGGACGACGTTCCCGAGCTGGTTTGCCGGCATTTTCCGTCTCGGACG